ATAGCCTGAAGATCGATAAAATTATGCTAAACGACCTACGGCATTTGACTTTCTTTCCAAATTCTGCTGAGCCATGGCTGATGCTGCAGCGTGTTGCAGTGCACGATGTAATCCAGCAGCAAGTATAGCATCCTCTTCTTCAAGATCGTCCCAAGGATCGGGTAAGTCGTCTACGGTTGCACCTTCACCAACGCGCAGCAGTTGGCAAGAATCTACTCCGTATGTAGAACACATTTCATTAAACACGGCTGTCGACCTCAAAATTGCTATGCTAAGAAACATAACCTGCTGGAAGCACAAATTCTTACCGAGATTCATCATCCACACCCACATCGTGCAATAAAAAGTAATGCTTTAATGTGTTGGGACTGGTCCATTTTGGAGGCGCGCAATGGGACGGTGTTAGTACCTTTGAGTCAGCTGTTGAATGCTAGAATAGTGGTCCTGAGCGTCAGTACCAGAGCGACAATGAAAATAACAGCGTTACCGAACTACTGTGCAGCTTATGTAGCGAATCGCTGATTAATACATGCACAAACTGTATCTAATCGGATTTTACAAATGATGAGTATCGATTGAAAATACTCCAGAGGATAGCAATGATCAGATAAATCAAAAACTAATGATAAAGTCGATCATTCAGAGGAGAAGAACGTTGAAAACAACATGAAATTGGCGAAACACAAAAGCATGGAGTGGTAGAGGTTTACTGAGGCTAACTACCACCCAATGATCTTTCGTTTCGGCGGTCGCAAGTGAAAACCACGCCCACATAAGCGCGCCGCGAAAACCAATGCCAGGCGCTGACTGAACAAGTGCGGGTTCACTCATCTACAATGGCAGCAGATTCATATGAAACTTTGCAACAGTTAATACTAGCATATTCCATTCTACTGAATTATAGTAAGAGTCTTCTGCACATCTGGTAAATTCAGGGAATAAAAAATTGAAGAATCAGCTGGACTAATCACAACTGATAGTGGTGTTCAAGGCCTATGTTTTGAACTATCACAATCAAGCTGGTTAGTCAGGATGTGATAAGGAAGCCCTCCCTTACACTGAGAAAACTGGTAGATCGGATATGTGCCCTACCGTAAAACAATGTTAAGTCCAGATATTGAACCAAACCAGAAGAAACGAACGAAAAGCACTGGAGAGAAAGTGAAAGATACACAACTAAAAAGTTTCGGCATATAAAAACACAAATATGTGGAGACTCGATTGGAATGATTTAAAAAGAGAGGTGAAAACGTGTACACTCTGTCAAAAACTTTTCACAGTTACATCAAATCATGAATCTGACTTTGTGGCTTGCATGCATTATTAGAGAAAAGTTACCAAATTCTGCGCAGCGCTCAAGGATCTACTTCAATGTCACAGATGTCTCAACGTATCGTAGACACGCGTGCTTCGTAAGATTATTTGGAACCGAAATACTTCTACGATATTGCTACAAATCAAAGCTTTGGACCAAATGCCTCGTTGATGCGGTTCCAAATAAACTCACGAAGCACGCGTTTCAGCTACAATACGTTCAGACATCTGTGAATTTGAAGTAGATCCTCACTGCGCAGAATCTGGTTACTTAATAATGCATGAAGCTACAAAGTCAATTTCGTGATTTGATGTAGCTGTGAGAAGTTTTTGACAGAGTCTACATGTTTGAGAAACTAGCATTTTAGATCGACAAAACCAAAACGGGGAAAAATCAAAAGATGCATCGGAGCATAACGAACAAACGATGCTAGCACCTAAAGGCTGCTCCAAATGCCTCCTTCGTCTTACATTCTGACAATGAAGGATATGGAAAAGGAAGCACCACGTGCCAGGACTGATGTCAACTTTGTGTTCCAAATCATGATAAGGAAAAGCTTACAAACTACATACCCTTCAAAACAGAATGGCATATTTTAGCAACACCTTGATGCTAATTCAGACTTACGTGATGCGAGTATAATTAGTGCCTCACCTGTTGTGTATGTTGAATTTGTACAAGTTTGCTCAGTTCGCTCAGTGGATTCTCCTCACATCCAGCTACAACAAAAACACATGCAAGGTATGTGCGAAAAGTTTCTTGTTCTATAGGTTCTGCCCATCGTTTCAATCCACCAGAGAAACTTTCAAGAGCATCTGCTAGCTGTGGTTTGCGTTGTAATAGCTTAAATCGCATTCAAAGTGAAATGGACAAAAAGCAAATTGATCAACTGAAAATTATGGCTGACTCACTTCATAGAGGACATGCGGAAGGACTGATAAAGTTAAAAGATGACCTTCTTTGCTGAGATCTCGAAAGTCGAGAGTGATCCTAGCGTTTACATGTTGAGAAGTGGATGGATCCTTGAAGAACACTGATCAAAAAACAAAACAATAATAAGATATTCAACACTCTCATGAGATATTTGCGCATGTACAGCTTTCGGAAAAAAGGATGTGCAGCATTCTCACTTTGTTCTGTTAATAAATGTGATCAAACACCATCTAGGCAAACAAAACATAATTCTTGGCAAAAGATAATCACAAATTGAAGGCGAATTCCAACAACTGCTCACCCTAATCGCAATCGAATGTGAAGCGAATGGCTGCAGTAAACGAGAGATAGAGTTGAATCCCCGGTTTCGAACCCTTGATTCAACAGCAGAGGAAGCGATAATAGCCACCAGTGGATGCTCCATCCATGTAGCTATTCACTGATGACGTTAGTCAACTCGAATTCCGCCTTCCTGGATTCAGATGCGGGTGAGTCGAGCGGTGCCGCGGTTCAGTTGCGTGTGTCTGATCAACGCGCCTCTCCTACCTCCAGCACTCTCTCATCACTCTCTCGCTGTCTGGCGCTGCACCACAGGTTGGCGATTTTACGGGATGAAATTTGAAGAAGCAGAAAGTCGCCTTGCTTCATCTGTTCCGAGTCTTTCCTTACACAAGATTCATGCACGGTTTTCCTTGATAAGCTGCTAATCAGAAACGCTAAAGCAATTTGAGATAGCACTCTAATAATTCTGTTTTGCGAAGCAAGCTGCACACTTCTTTCGTGTGGTGTGGTGGCAGAACCAAACTGTCTTGAGGCTTTTTAGCGTGGAGTATGTCCTGCTGAAAAATTTGGCCCGTTAGAAATCCGCGCTCACATCATTTATTTTGAGAATATCTGAAAATGCGTGGTTTCCGTCCAGCTAGTTCAGAATCGGTATATTGAAGGCAATGGGCGGCTAAACCTCGTTTTCGCATTTTTTGCTTGAGTGGATGCATTCTTTTACTCATTCCAAAAAGTTTGGAGAGCGCAAGTACAGCGAATGCAGGCTTCCTTCGAAGACGTTATTTGATGGAGAGGAACTCGGCTCGATAAGATGGAATGCAGAACCATTCGGGAACCTCTGCAACTAGGTAGTATCATGTAGTATCACACTCTAGCGCCAAATTATGACAGGCTCCAGATTCGT